GGGCGGGAGAGGAGAGCAGGGAGAGCTTGCTTCTCCGGGAAGGAGCGGCAGTTCCATCAGAGATTTCTTCTGAATGGTATGTATATGTTTTTAAATGATATGTTGGAATGGAGGATGGATGAAGTCGTCGCGAAGGTCCGGCAACTTTCGCGATATTTTCCCTGAAAATTAGTCGGATTTGACGAGTTTGCGATGAAGCGGGCTGACGCAGGTCCCGTTCCTTCCGAAACCGGTCCAAAATTAAATAATTGAAAATACATAATAATAATAATAAATTAAAGTACCGCTTCTGTAAAAACATATGGGAAGGAAAACTCGCACTCGCAGGCGAACGGTGCAGGCGGAGAAAAGGCGGGAAAACGGGAGAGAACGCTTTCCCTCAACTGACGGGAACGAGGGATTTCCCGCTTTCGAAACGAGACGGGCTTGCGACGGAAGCGCGGGAAATCTTGGGTGGGGGGGAAAGGGAAAGGGAAAGGGAAAGCCTTCGCCGTCGCCATCTGTGAGCCACCTGGAAGCCACCTGTGCCATGGAAGCGTCATCCGTGCCCTCCTTTCGCCGACCTTGTTACTGCCATGTACGTCCGATACGTGACCAAATTAACTATTAACTGTTGAACGAATCTGCATAGACTTCAGTCCAAATTTTTTTTTTTCTGAGCACAACGTAAGTGCAAATCGCGCTAGGAAAAGGTTCTCGCTCCCTTTCTTTCTTTTTGCCAAGAATCCGAGAGAAATGAGCCGACCCAAAACGGACGAGAATTCCCGGGCGTGATAGAACACTAAAAAATAATAACGTAACGTCATGAAACAACGTCCAACTGAACCTGACGGCTGCGAAGCACGAGGGGCTCTCATGCCTGCAGGGAGCAGCCATCAGCCGACCGAATGGCCCGTGGCCGTCGGTCGCTTGGCTCCGACGAGACACGACGGCCTCCCACACTCGGAGCTTAAGACAGCTTAAGACTGCTTAAGATTGCTTAAGAGTGCTTCAACTTGCAGTGGGTGTGGTCGGAGGGTGGGCACATTGGGAGTTAACTGCCCATTGGCGCCACGTGAGGCCACTGGAGACGAGGTACACGCGGGTTCTCGCAGCGACACCTACGCCGACGGGTGTGCCATCTAACGTGCGAACGTGGAACCTCTGAGAGCACGAAGGATGACAGCCGGCGAGGAATCCGTCGCCGCATTGGTCAATTCCACGTGCGTTTCATGAGAAAGGATGACGCAAGCATCGTGAGGTCGGTGGAGCGGCAAAGGATGTGATTGCATCGGGGCGGGGATTCTTCGGGGGGTAATGCCCCCCCGGGGTTCGTTCGGTGACGTCATCGGGTTCGTACCCGAACGGAATGGGAAAAATTCTTCATTCGGTTGTGCCGTCGGTGCAACCAAGGGACGTTGCGCCGGGTTCTTATTGGATTCCTTACATGTCGTCACAAACTTCTCGGTTATATCGTTGAGCTTCCTCTTCGAGAAATGTCGACCGTTCTGAGCGAACTGAAAATTCTATACAACTTGGTGAATTGGTCATGAAAATTTTCATTAACTATTCATGAAAGTATTTCTCGATACCAATCATCAGAGGTAGAATTTAAAATTGCCACTATAATTTAGCTGCAGGAACTAATTGTTTCTACATGCACTATAATAAAGAAGACGGCATGTTTTTTTTTTTTCGTTTTGAATTTCCCGATCTACCAACATCCCACTAGGAGATAAATTGGGATTTTCGACAGTTCACATCTCCATTGCTTTCCCAAGTGATTTGCATTATTTGATATTAGAAATTTAAGGACATATATTCACGAACGAGACAGCAGACTCGGGAATCCAAAAAACGAGATCTTCGGCCGGCGACACCCGGGGTCGCCACGGGTGTCGTTCATCGCTGGTAGGGATGGACGCCGGCTGCGACCTTGATGTTGGCCTTTGCGGCGCTCTGGGCCTTCCCTCCCATCACGGACACCACTGCAAAATCATCCACATCAAGAACGATGAATTACTAAAATTAATTATAAATAACTGAAGGTGCCTTGACAAATCGCTTGTGGCAAAACTTCCAAAGGATGCATTTCTAAACTTGAAATTAATGAAGGCAGGTGAGCAAATTGGACTTTCAGCAGCTTTCCCTTCCCCACATAGCTTTCCCTTCATTTTCTCATTTTACCTCCTCATTCATCAAATGCTGTCATGTTTTGCCTCTAAACCACTGGGTTTCATCTCTGGATTATTATTTGTTTATACAGGGATTCATAAACATTTTTTAAATCCAACATTGGTTCATTTTACTTGCATTAAATGTTTAAAATTGCATAATATGTCCCTTTCTGGCATGAACTTCATGTAACAAAAAAAAAAACTTGCCTTCTCTGCCTCTTTAAGTGTTTTCATACCAATTTGTTCGCCATGCTCAATATCTCATATTTTTTTAAATATAGGAATGACAAAACTGGAATGCTCAAAGGATAAGTCAAACACACACACCTTAATGTTAATTCAGGAAAACATGCCTTCAACTCAACCTTTGGGTGTGTCCACAATTTAAAGTCCAAGTTTTTCCCATTTCACTCAAACAGGAGCAGAGCAACAAACACACAGAATTAAAAAATTAAAAAAGCCATTTCATGACTCCTGCACCCAATTCTACTCAATTCGTTCCACTCATCACTTAAACGCTTCAGGCACGTCACTCGGTCACGTCGAGCCGAGCAGAGGATGGCATGGATCGATCAAGGTTGTTTAACCACCTTCGCATCAATTTTCACGAGAATCCATCGACCGTACTCAAAGCCTATTGCTTTCCATTGCAGTCAGGGAAGGAAAAAATGCTCACACCAGTACGCCTGCGAATCACGGGCGGCTCGTGACATTTCACGAGCCGTCACTGCTACGAATGCGTGTGGGTTAAAAGATGCAAGGACATTAAAGGGTACTGACTTGGAGTTCCAGGTTGCTGAGGAACAGGAGGGCCTTGTTGCGGTTGAGGCGGTCCAGGGGGGCGGGCGGGGGTCGGTTTGATGCCCCTTCCGAACGACACCGCACCGATCAGCAGTTGGCTGTCGGCAGGGTTGAAGGACTGGCTCAGCATCCCGCCGCCTCCCGCTCCGCCCCGGCTCGTCTCGCTGCCGTCCCATTGGGAACTTATGGAATCCAGCAGATTGTTGCAAATCTTGTTCAGTTGCAAGATGTGTTTCTGCAGGAGACAAGGAAGGAAAATTCACAAGAGGAAAGCAGGGAAACAAGTCATCCTGAATGTCTCGACTCAAAATACCTTAATGTGATCTCATACTTGTATGTGTACGTGAATATGGAAGGAAAAAAGTGAAGATAAAACAGAAATAGTGATATTCAATAGAGATCTTGATTTGGTTATTTGCAATGAACAGCTTCTCATAAAGGAATTAGTGTTGGGCATAACCACATTACCCCGTTCTTCATACCCTTCCATTCACTTTCTCATGTCTGTCACAACACGTAATCGGGATGAAATCTCACTTGGGCAGTTTCAGGGTTGGTCTGAGAAGCCTTCTGTTCGACCTGAAGGTGGGTCTTCTCCACGTCCGGATCGGGCTTCGTGCGGAGGTAATCCGGGACGACCTCGTGGCTGAAGATGGGGATGCGGCCCTCGGTCAGCTTCAGCAGGTCCTCGTCCCTGTCCGGACTGAGCAGCAGGGGCAGGACGACGTAGTTCCGCAGCGGAGGGGTCTTCTCGTTCTTGATCACCCTCAGGAGCGAATTGAGCTGCAAGAGAGAGACCTCGGATGACGACCTCGTCGGGGGCCGGGGGCGAGGGAGACGCCCTCTCGGAGACGTGCCTGTCCCGAGGTGAGGGCGAAGCTGTCCAGCAGGGAAGGCCAGTTGATGGTCTCGTGCTCGTGCTCCAGCTTGGCCAGCAGTTGGCCGATGGAATTCTTCAGGTCTTGAATTCTCTGAGTCAGGGCATCCGTGGCAAACTCCAGGGCTTTCTCCTCCCGCTGGAAAATGATGGAATCGAGGCATATACAAAGTGCATTCCACATACATTTAAAGGCAAGCATATCCAAACTGACCATATTGGCCAAATCACAACCAATGGGATAAACAGACAATGATGTTCCAAAAAGGAATGTAATCCTGCTTTCTTTCTTATCCATTATAAGTTTCTCAGTAAGTTTGAACCTCAAAACAACACTTAATCTGAGCAATTACTTTTTTTGACTCCCAGAAGCACTCTTGTAATCAAGCACAAGTACACCAAAATATATGAAATCAAGATTCAACATAACTGGAAAGATAAACTTTGGATATCTCGTCATGGCTTTCAAAGAACTGGCAAAGCAAGTTATGCAGCTGTAGCATATATCGTGCAGCAGTGCATCAGATATCCAAAGTTTCCTTCTGCATACAAGAGGCACAACGAGTCGTGCTTCAAGGACTCCAACTCTCAAGGTGGATAGGTGATGCTCCACAGTGCTACATGCATTCTTGTCAAGGCCTGCTATGTCAGGATTACTCTGAAGTGAATCAAGACAAAGAATAAGAAAAGGCCATCATGCTTAATTGATTTCAGTGTCATTGCACTGGTGCCACGATACCATGGAGCCATTGCACTGGTGTATTCCATCAATCACCAGTCACAATGCATGCATGCAGCTGTATGATCAACAAAGACCTTTCAGCCACGCCATAAGTATCTACTAGAACTGGGAAACTCTGAAGTAGATTTCAGGGTTTTACATATTAAAATTTTTCACTTGGCGATTCGGATATCCAGTGTTTAGAACAGCTGCTTAAAAACAGTGGCTCTCTGTGTTCATTCCCCTATTTTGCCATTCTTCGGATATGGATATTTTCAATAGGTCATCAACACTTCGCCCTCTTCTCATGCTTCGCGGGAACGGAATTAGGCTAAGGCGAAGACCAATCGCGGTTCTTCGCAATCGGAGGCCTGCCCTACCTGCATGATTCCTTCACGCTCGACTCGAAGACTCCAAGAGCCCAGAGGGACGTGAGAGACGACTGGACCTCGACTGAGCTCGAGAACCTGCGCTCACCTCCTCGACGGTGGGAGCGGCCATGGACCAGGCCGCCCAGCCAACGAGATGCGAAGGAGGGCAGTGCGCATGAGCGCTGCGTGGGTGTCCCAGTCTTCCCGTGTCAGCTGCGTTGCCAGGAGACTTTCGTTCCCCTTTTCAGTCCTGGTTTCGGTGGCCACTTCGTCTCGTGCGAGTTCCAGGTTGTCAGTCTCTTTGTTGTCTCCGTGTTTTTCTCTTTCTGACGTCCGTGTGCCGGGCTAGCACCTGGCCTGCCGTGGACCCCTAACGTTAAGCCCATAGGCCTAGCATGAGCCTATCGACCGTGATTGATTTTGGCAAGGCCAGTGCCTGTTACCAGGCTGGTTTCGATTCATTATTCAACTACGACAGCCCGCGTCGTTTCTTTTATATCTCAGGCTAGGAGGGTTTCCCCATCTGATTCGCATGTTGCGCCCATACAATTGTGCTTTTAGCCTAAATGTATCAACTATGGGGAAACTCATGAGAAGAGAGGTTGGATTGAAGGAAACGACATGAAGTATCGATGTCGAAGTTTTAGGCCATTGGGGCTGCCAGCTTTCACTTTTGACAGGCGGTCAACATGCGAAGAGATTTGTGGTTTCCTGCTTGGGTTCTTGGCTCTGAATTCATCACTTTATGGCAGTCTTTGGCATTCCTGGTTTTTTTTTTTTTTTTGCAAATGTGCATTTGATGGCAATTTGCCAAAGCAATTGGGTGCAGGGCCTGCATCTTGGTATGTTAATTTGATGGGTTATGGAAGGCTTGGTTCTTCAGCAACCTACTTATGTTGGGTTGACAGACATTTCATCTTCTGAATGGGCATGCAAATGCAGAAGAAGCAGGTGAGAGCATTTCATGCATGCAGACGGAAGACCGTCGATCTTTCGAGCCGGAAGCACTGCGGCCGCATCGACGAGCGGGTCGAACGAGTTTCTGACACTGCGGTACTTTTTTGTTTTTGTGTACTCTGATACGGAGGAGCAGGTGCAATCGTTTGCCATTCTCGAACGTGCAGGACTTAGCCGCTGCCCCATTCCTATTCTCTTCACCTTTATCTTTCTGCATATCCACCTGTAAATCGGTCTGCCCAGTGGCAGAATCATTTATGCATTCAAGGGACTCTCTGGGCTCGGTTTTCCCCCACCCTGATAAAACATCATGAAATATTCACCATCTCATCTAAAGGGACTCAAGGGCCCTGAGTCAATGGGGCCAAAGAGCATTCGGTGCTCTCTATTTCCCCTCCCCGAAGAAAGAAGCCCACTCGGGTCTCTTGTTCGCACCACCGATGGCTTCTAACGAGCAGGACCGTTGCTATATAATTAGAGCAAATTATCTCCGGAGTTAAAAGGAGACATAATCCTTTTCCAGGCAGAAAGCTTGTTCTAAATGAAATATCTGATATTAAGAATGCACCTTAATTAAATTAAGCTGTGGAGAGTGTACTTAACATATTGCTTTTTTTTTATTTCTTTAATAATTTAATGCTCATCCATTAACTAAAACCACTTTCATGGAATTTTTAAAAATTCTTTTAAGCCCATCTCACCATGAATTGTGGCTTGTAATTGCTTTTTTTCCCCCCCACTTTCGCAAGTCTTTCGTTCTTGACTGGTTTTTGTCGATTTGATGGCGTCTCTTGCCATGTTTCGGCCGCATTGGTCCTCGAGAGCCCAGTACAATGGCCCATTGTCTTGGGACGTCGAATTTTTTTCGCATCATCGACGTATTTGCATGCCTGACCAGCCAATAAATCCTTCAAGGAGGAATAAAGTACGAATAATCACATAATATAAATAACATAAAAACGCGAATCGTCTAATGATATAGCCCTCCATCAGATTAGACTGATGACCGCACGGTTGAACGACCTCATAGGCGAGCAGAATCGGCCATTAAGGCCATCAAGAACCCAAAGAAACGGAAGCCCGTCACGAAAGGGTCCCCCCCCTCCCCCTTCCCCGAGGGATTCCGCAATTGAATGGGCGATGGAATGCCACCTCATCGTTCAAGGCCTTGAGGATCTTCCACTTTCGCGGTGGAGGACGGCAGCTCCTTTTGGAGGACGCCCGCGTCTCCTGTTTCCTAAGCAGCTCGTGGACCGCGGGGCTCATCTGTCATGCTGAGGCGGCCAATGCCCTTAAGAGTGCCCGCGGAGAAGGCCGGGGGGGGCCGTGTGTGGCTTCGACGCGGAAACGAATGATTTCCGCGTATCGGCGAGAGACTTTCCGTAAAACTCTCAGACTGATAGCGTCAAGGCTGCAGACTCGATAGATACGAGAGCGTCCCCTTAACATTGTTATCATTTGAATGGATGGCTCGTGAGGTTGACGAGAGTCGAAGGCCACCTCTCGGGGTCCAAGGCCTCCGTTGCCCCTATATTTAGATGCATCGCAGCCCTTATGTAACGATCGTCAGAGGATGAGCGGCCCTAATTTGCCGCGCAAACGCAGCCCGAGTCCAAACTGAAATCCGTTTCTTTTCTTGAAGCTTGAATTTCCTAAGTCATTCGTACGCCCTTGATGATCCTTGAGCCATGAACCGCTATTTTTCCGACCCCGTTTCTCCTTGAGGGGGCCTTAGCTGTAACCTTCCCATGATGATGCTGGGGAAAAAAAAAGGAGAAAAAAATTGTAACAGACTCAGCGATTTTCAGGATTGACATCTTGACACGAGGAAGTTAGCCGTTTTCCTTGTTGGTTCGAATAAAAAGTGGGTCCGGCTCCCATCGCGACGCGGAGTGAATTTAAATGAAACGGTAGAACCACTTCTTGAAGAAAATATTCAGGACTCTTAAGTAGACGAAAAAGAAAAGAAAAACCAGTCTGGACCGGCGGCGTAAGGGAAAGGGAAGGCATAGAAGCATACAGTCCATCTTTCACCTTGACTGGTTGGCCTCCATTTCTCGGAGGAGACCAGACGAAACCAGAAATGACGACCCAATTCCGCCTCGGGAGGACGTCGGTAATGACTTTCAGGGCAAAAAATTGGCCTGCTTTGAAGCACCCGAGGGAGACGGAAGAATGATGTTGCGTGGAAATGGATGGGAAATTGACAATGACTTGAACTTCTTTTTTTATGTATCGTCTTTCGTGATAAGAGGAGCGATAGGTGTAGAAAAGGGGGCCGTGGGAGATTCCGGTCGTCGGGCAGCGCCGAGGGGAGTTCGCCTTTGTGATGAGGATTGCGGAATCGTAGCTCTTTGCGCGAGGAGGGTCGTGGAATCTCGACGCTTTGCGCGAGGAGGATTGCGGAATCTCGACGCTTTGCGCGAGGAGGGTCGTGGAATCTCGACGCTTTGGTGAGGAGGATTGAGGAATCTCGACGCCTTGCGCGAGGAGGGTCGTGGAATCGCAATGCGGTTTGAATCGTTGTTTATGCATGCAGTGGGAATCGATTGTAGTGCCACTCCTGATCTATCGTGTATCTGCGTTTCCCCCCCAGAGATCGCGTCTCGAATGTTTCATGAATACTGAGTAGTTTCTTCGTGCTACTTCGCAGTGATGTGACGTAGAGGTGACCTCACGCACTCGAGTGCGGATCCGAGTTCTTGTGATGCAAGGGCTTTATGTAAGAGCCGGAAAGTCGTGAGTCATCGACGTCTCTATCGCCATTTATTATCGGACTTTGTTTTACAACGGAATAACCCAGGAGACGGAGGCAGTTAACGTATTCATCGCTTCGGCCGTGCTCACGTCAGATGGCCCCGCACATCCAGGTTCCCTTTGAGACGAAATCACACGGGGGGGGGGGGCGAGCTACCCCCCCACCCGAGTGCGGAACGGGGGGAAGTCAAGTGTATTTGTCGCGGGTGGGAACTCCAGCGTAAATGCGCGCTGTCTGTTGCTGGGCCGTTCGAAGTGTTTGTAACCGGTTAAGGATCCAGGAAATACGTCTCTCAGCGCCATAGTGTCATAAATGTGGCCTTGCCCATGACTACGCAGTACGGTTTCCCTCCGAAGGCCATTCCGACCCCCTTCGTTATCGATGTAAAAAATCCGACCGCGAACAGGTAAGAGGAGACCAGGGTCTACGTGCCGTGCGTTTGCACGTGCAGTGGCAAAATCAGTTGCAATGAGTGCATCGGGTGACTCGGCGAAAAGTGTGACGCGGACGAGCCCCCCCCCCCCCCCAGTCCTCAGGTTGGCTTGGCTCAGCCATGAGCCAAGTTCATGTCTCCTCGCGCCCTCGTTAAGCCAGGCCGTTATATGCATCTCCTTCCGTGCGTACTAATGACTCGAACGGTTCCTTCTCTTCCAGGTCCTGAAAGCTCTTTGGGACGTGAGTGTTCTGTGTGGCTTTAAAGTACTATAAACCGCGACTAAGTACGCAATGGGAGGGAGCGAGAGCGCGAAAGTCGATGCTGGAAAATGCGACGAAGCTGTCCCCGCCTCGACCGCCCCGCAGAGCAGCATGGAACCAGAGGTACACCCGATCAATATTTTATTTTATTTATCATAACTTTAAATTACTTATCATTTATTTAAAATTATTCATTTATCTTTATTATAATTTTAAATAATTTTCATTATAAATTATTTTAAAATTATTTATCATTTATTTAAAATAATTATTTATAATTTTTCGCAGATTCTTGAGGCTTCAGGAGTGGAGGAATACGAGAGCCTGCCGGGCGACTCCCCGACGAAGTCGCCGCCGGCCGAGGCGTCGGGCCTCCGCCCCCGTCAGACTCAGCACCGGGCAAAGCTGGTGAGGCGCGCCTCGCTTCTCGGATAAGGCGTTGAGTGTCTCGATTGATTGTGCATAATCCATCACGTGATGTGCGCGTGACGTCGAGTGCGTGGCGGAAAAAATACCATTGATAAGAGTCGTCTCATCGTTTCAATTGGCTCGTTTCAATTGGTCGGCTCGTAAAAAAAAAAAGAAAAAAAAAATTATGCAGACGAGTCATAAAGCCGTGACGTCGGCATGATTGCTCTGTTATGTCTCTTCTGGGTCGTTTCGACCGTAGCCAACGGTTGCGCCGGGTATCCGGCCGGGGTGAAGTCGTGACGCAATTCAGTCCTTGTCGCGACAGCCTAAGTTAAATATTTCAGGAATCGGTCGAATTCAATCAGTAAATTGGGAGTTACGAAAGGACCAATGACCAATTGTGGCAAATTTTCAAGAAGTCTGTGGTAGGAATGCGTACTGGTACTGGTACTCGTGGTTTCGCAGTCTTCGGGAGGGAAATTGGGATGCTGAGATTTCGTATGCGATGCAGAGGATGGGGCATCGCATGATACGTGGGAGATGGCATCAGCAGCTGGTGATTGATGGGAACTAGCTGGCAGGTTGAGCGGGGATCGAGCGGTCTCTTGGGACCTTTTCGATCTCATTTTTCGAACGAGTTTCTGCCGGTCCTGAAGGAAATTGAGGGAATCCACCGAAGTAGGACACGGTGACGGCTCCATGTCGCGGCGGAGTGGGTGGCATAGTTGGAATGGGGACGTGAAACACGAGCGGAGAAGAGTCGCAACGGGGACGTGAAACACGAGCAGAGTTGAAACGGGGATGTGGAAGAGGAGCAGAGTTGCAACGGGGATGTGGAAGAGGAGCCGACCCCGGCCTTGTACTGCGGTTCGCCGTCCCCGTTGGAGCGCCGTCGCTCCGCGCACTTAGCGGTCAGGCGGCGAATGCCGCCTCCTTGCGGCATCTCGAGGATCCGTAAGGCCAATGGCCAATGCGCGATGGATGACGCACTGCAGATGCGAGATCGCATCGACTCGTTCTACGCAGAGACTTTTGCGGGTTGCCATCCGTGTCCCCCGTCGCACATCGGGAAGCCCTTTGAGCCCTCTCGGATAATGGATGCCCCGGCGTCGGTGACAATAACAGGATTCGCCATGACAATAACAGGATTCGTCGCGTGGGGAAGGGGTCAAAGCAACGGTCGCGACAATTATAGTACTGGTCCCGAATGAGTAATCGGGTCAGGTTTTGAGTCGTAGGAATAGATGCGCTGAATTTACATGTGGCCGTTGATGGTCTTTCAGCCGAAGTTAAAGTTTAATTCGTATATTAGGAGCGAAAAGTTCAGAAGTTACTTTATTTCGATTACCGTGCGATGAACTGACTTACTTCAAATTGCGCTTCAGGAGTGAATGGTCCCAGACAAAAAGATTTTTGCTTCGTTCGCAAGAAAAAGAAATTGCTTTCTTAAATATTTAATTTAAATTTTAATTTTTATGCAAATTATGGGGAACAGGTGAGCATTAATGTGAGCATTAATATTAACTGTGAGCATTACTATTTTTATGCAGGCGCACGTGCGACACCCGAGCAACGAGATGGACCTGAGCCTGATGGCGCACCAGGCGATGGAGTCCGCGGGGCTCATGGCGCACCACGCGGTGGAGTCCGCGGAGGACTTCGTGCGGAAGGTGTGCGAGGAGGCGTGGCAGGTGGTGTCGTTCCACCACCTTCCGTCCTGGCTCAAGGACAATGACTTCCTGCACCACTGGCATCGGCCGCCGCTGCCGTCCTTCGCCGCCTGCTTCCGGTCCATCTTCCGGGTCCACACGGAGACGGGGAATATCTGGACTCATCTGCTGGGTGAGGTTCTTTTGGAGGAGGAGCCATGTGGCTGAGTGCGTGAGCCAGGTGTCGATGGATGCGAGTGCGGAGACATATGGTGGTAAATGATTTGAGGAGGGTGCTCGCAGATGCGTGTTTTGTCGGTATATCTTGACGGTTTTCTCGATTCGGATGGGTTGGTTTCTTGACCGTAGAGCGTTTCAGACTTTATTTGGAAGCTTACGGTGCAAATAAACTGCATATTTCACAATGTAATGTTATAAATATGCTTGTAAGGATGTAATTAGTTGGTGGTACGAGTATGAGTGTTCTCTATTTGTTGTATTTTCATCTGTAATGAACGGTTTACTTTCATCGGGGTCGTCTCCAGATGCTTCTGATGGGCCAACAACAGTGAAATGAGCTCACTTAATACCACTTAAGCCAATCGGCATTGGAAGGATGGAAAGGAAATCAACGGTCTCGGTCTCTTCGATCCAGGGTGCGTGGCGTTCATCGCAATGGCCACTTACTACCTGACCCGGCCGTCGATCGAGGTGCAGATGCAGGAGAAGTTGGTCTTTGCTGCATTCTTCCTCGGAGCCATCCTCTGCCTTGGTTTCAGCTTCACCTTTCACACCGTACACTGCCACTCGGAGTTTGTCGGGAAACTGTTCTCCAAGTACGGGCCCTGCTTGATGTTTTTATGAGTGCTTAGCTGTTTGATGATGTTTTTTATGAGTGCTTAGCTGTTTGATGTTGTTTTTATGAGTGCTTAGCTGTTTGATGTTGTTTTTATGAGTGCTTAGCTGTTTGATGTTGTTTTTATGAGTGCTTAGCTGTTTGATGTTGTTTTTATGAGTGCTTAGCTGTTTGATCTGCCTCTGTTTCTACAGATTGGACTATTGTGGGATCGCTCTGCTCATCACGGGGTCCTTCGTCCCGTGGCTTTACTACGGTTTCTATTGCGAATTCCAACCGAAGCTCATATATCTGACCGCCGTGGTTTCGCTGGGGATTTCGGCCATGATAGTCTCTCTGTGGGACAAATTCAGCGAGCCCCAGTACCGTTGGTTGAGAGCCGGTGAGCATCGAGCAGCACGCGAGTCGACGACGAGTCCTAAACGATAACTTTTTGAACGTTTTGTCCGTGCAGGAGTGTTCATGGGCTTCGGTCTGAGCGGAATCATCCCGGCGATGCACTATCTTTCCTCGGAAGGCTGGTTCAAAGCGGTCTCGGAGGCCTCGCTCGGGTCTCTCCTCCTCATGGGTTTCCTGTACATCATGGGTGCTTTGTGCTATGCATCACGCATCCCTGAGAGGTTCTTTCCTGGCAAGTGTGACATCTGGGTGAGTCTTTATTCCTTGTTCTCACTGTTTTGTTTGTTTTTTTCTTTTTTTGCAACCAGATGCATGTAAATGCCTGTGTGGCTATGATAAATTATGGTACTGAAAGCACCAGAATAGCAATGCTCTGTTGTTTATCAGGGGGGGGGGGGGAAACCAGGATTTTGCCATAAAGGGATGAAATTGTGGGGCTGGTATGTCGATCATGCGGGTATACTGTTTGTATTTTGACGTTGAAGCTACCCGCTCGATGTTCCCAGTTGCTCATCGGCAGCATCTTGAAGATTGCATATTATTGTTGACACAGTCATGATCTCCCGATTGCTTCTTAGAGATGCCTTTCCGCCAGAGATTGTTGTCTTTGGATCTTTGTTTCCATGGATTCCATTTCTTCTTTGGTCATCATAATATTGCATTATAGCCTTGACATCAAATGCAAAATTGGTGCAACGAAGGTTCCACCGATTCGACTCTGGTAACTGGTTGGATGCTTTGTCACCTTGTTTTCGTCTGTCTTTGCACAGATGTCAAACGATGCTGCATTTTTCTGTTGAGATCAGAATGAGACTGCAATTAAGAAACCGAGTTGGAACCAAAGATGTGACTCGACAAGATTCTGGCTTCTGTTGAAGTAGATTCATAATGGAGTAGAGTTGGAGCTTGAAGAGAGAGAGAGTATTCCCTTTCAGTGTCAAATGGAAGTTTCATATTGCAAATTTCTATATGAATGGCTCAGAAAGGTAAGTGAAGCTCTAAGCAACAAGAGTGCTGAATTGAAATTGCAGGTTTTGTGTAGGAGGGGCTGGTACAGCAAGAATGACTCGAGGCCATTATCTTTTTTTGTTTTTATTCAGACGGCTCTCTCTCTCTCTCTCTCGTTTTGAATATATTAAAAGCAAAACCTGATCATCATGTCATGTAACTGCTGTTATTCCCATAAAGCAAGTCAGGAGTCCCTGTCTGCCAATGATATATGAAAGGTTTCCTTGTGGTGTTGCTTTCCAATCAGATTGCAGAGAGTCATTTTTAAGTGTTGTGTTAACCATTGCCACACCTAAAATTTCTCTCTTAAAAAAGAGAGAAATTTTAGGGGTGGCAATGGTTCTGATTGAATCCATTGGTACCGAGAGTACTTGTCAATTTCTTTAAATGCAAATTTATAGTGGTAGTAATCTTTTCTAATATTTGATAGGCTTAGAACAGGGGTTGGCTCACAAGCCAAAAACTTTGGCTCATCGAGTCATGACTGAAAATCGTAGTTGTTTCTCGTGTATCAAAGAATGCACATGTGTGTTGCCAACTTCAGGAAAAATTTGGTTGTTCTGGCAATTTTTTGCTCAAAAGCATTTGGCTAAATCTTAATATGGCTCACATAGCCCTAAAGGTTCCCAACCCCTGGCTTAGAATCATGAAGTACCCCAAAATAAGACCAAAATTGATGGTGTGTTTAATCCTTAGATGATTTCATGTCCCTTTCATGAATTCCTCATTTGATGGCATTATGTATACCAAGGAGAATGTCTCAATTGCTTCAAAGAAGCTTCTTTTCTCTTCCAGTTCCAGAGTCATCAGATCTTCCATGTGTTGGTGATAGCCGCTGCCTTCGTTCATTATCATGGGATCTCCGAGATGGCCATGTACCGGCTGACAACGGGAGAGTGCCAAGATCACGGGCAGATGGTCTTGTGATATCCCGGGGAAATACCTGTTTCCTTTCCGTCTGTCTCCTGTCGCTTTCGATGCGTCAAATATTTATTGGGCACCAGATTCTAAGATTTGGTACAGCGTGGAAGTCTGTGAGATTGCGTCATACTATATTTGTGTTCGGCCTGGGACTTCATTCCCCGTTTGTGATTCATGTGTTGGTGAGAAAGGTTGTAAGGTGCTGGACTGTTGGGAGCGTCACAATGGGCCTCGGCTGCAGCTGAGGCTCGATGCATGGTAGCTATGTTGGTCTTGAGTCTTGGACTCTGTTTTCTTTCAGGTATCGCATTTAATAACCTGAATCTGGTGGTGTCATGGTACAACTTTCTGTAGCTGTGAGACCTTTTCAGTTTACTTCAAAGAACAAATTGGGTGTCAATGCACAATTGCAATTGCCTCGCAGATGTAGAGATGAACATTAGGAAGGTTCATTTGGGAATTATTTCAGTCACATAATCATACACCAGTAACTCATGAATGGAAATTATGACCAGTGAATATATATTTATTTAAAAGAGTGCCCTTGAGTACTCTTGCCCCCAATCTTTCTTTATTCTCGTAAACTTAGCCAGTCAGTTAATAGTCCACCTCATAGAAAAGCAATGCTGTATTCACGACTTATCTCTGAATGCAGCATTGCAGAGGGCAGAAGGAAAAAAGATTTAGAAAATTGCAGTTAAATTCTGTCCCTTGGCATGGACACGATAACCTTCTCTGGGTTGAAATAGTTCAATCCGTGAAGTTCATATTTACTTAGCCTCATTGTTGTAATCACTTACAGGAATGTTCTCTTCCAATATTCCTTTTTTTCAGCATCAGCTGTGTGCCAAATAGGCTGGATTTCAACCAGGGCTTCATGACGAGTGAAGTGGCAATTTGATTCTGGCTAATTTCCAAGTCATTTAATTTTGGATTCTTGCCCAGTTCAGATTTTTTATGTCTTCAGTTTCAGCACAGGTACTGATTATAGCAGGATCTTGCTTTTCTGTATCTTTTGGACCAGTTACTACTACTACTCCAATATGTAAAAGTTGAAAGCAAATAAATTAGTTTTTGGATCAGAGTAATCTGCCTCATTTGCATGATTACAAATAAAAGCTTCTGAAAGTATCTGGTCTTCATTTGTATTGACAATAACGAAATCTGAATTGCAAATGAGGTCTGTTGTCAAATATTGGTTCAGGATTACAGGTTTTCTGTTTCAGTTTGAAGTCCTGGTTGTAACGTTCTCAGCTACCGCTAGGAGACTCGGCAGTTTGAATGGGAGTGCTGTACATTTTCATTCTAAGTGCCTTTTTTCAGTGTTGGAATTGCATTTTCAATAATAAAGCATTCCTGATGTATCCATAATTTTTGACTGGGTAGGAGTTCCATTTTAGTATTTTTGCTTTAAATTCACACATACGTGTGTGTCCTGGCTCAAGCTCAATGAAGAGATCTGAAAACCATGTACAAAATCATGGTATTCAAGTGAATGCATTTTGTTATTGCCATTTTCCAACTTGGCTTGTTTGTCTTTCAATGTTGACCCATGTCCTTGTCAGTTCCTCAGCACACAATAAAACAATCATTGTCTCCAATGGTCTTTCTTCATACCCACCAATAAATAATTGCCTGATTCATGTTTTATTTTGATGGTGTGCAGTTGGATGGCCAGATAAACTTCATTATTATTCCCTAGTCTTACCCTTCCATTCTTGTAAAAAAATCCCAAATAAACTTGAATAAAAGTTTTTTGGTCAATGAGTTCATATTTAGATGTAACTCAGCAAACATCAACTTTCAGAACAAATGCCCTTAGAGTAAACCAACTGTCTATAACCTAATAATGCATCATTAAATTTAGGCCAATACGATATTGTTTCATACAAATCTTTCCTTTTCTACCTTATAAAATGAGTGAAAAAAGAAGTGGTCATGTTCCAATGATGCAAAGTAATTCTGAAGAGTGGCTCCTTGGATGGCCTTTGAGCTTCCTTGAGTTAAATTACCTCAACATTAAAATCACCTCCAACTTTATCAATCAAAATCAATTCATGAGAGCATCACAAAGACTGTTTAGAGGTTATGGGAAAGAGCTCTTGAGAAATATAAATCGGAGAACAAGGTTGTTGAGATTGCCATGAAGCATATCTTATGGCACCTGAGTGAACCATTAGAAGCACTGAGCTTACTCTCAAAGTGAGATGCAGGTGAAAAGGATATGGTATCAAATAGTGGATTTTGCTTTATTGGGACACAGTTCCACGTCAATTTGCCCCAATTAGCTGCTGCCTCAATAAAGCAAACTCACCTAATAGTATAGTAAGAAACCCAGACACAAATGTCCTTTACTTGCGCAGAAACAAAAGCTACGATTCAAGAAATGTGCTCATAGTTGCTTATTTCACACCTGAAAAAAGCTTCTTTAAAGCATCAATGCAAAGAGCTCCATGTGTGCTTGAGCTGGCACTGAAGGATGTCCACTGAGGCCTCTTATGTGAGTCACCTTAGGTAAAGTCTCAGGCTCCTTGTCTGCGACGTTCTCTTAGCCTCTTGGAAACAATGTTCAAGACTATACGTTCTCAAAGTCATCCAGAATAAAAGCCAGATCCACTGAAGCTGTTTGTGATGGTCTCTACCTTAACAGTTGGCCAGCTCTTAGCCATAAAAGACATGGCAAAGAGGAGCAAGGGAGTGGGTGGAAAAATCAGTCTGGGTTGATAGCATTAATTAATCTCAACCTTGTCCCGATAGAGTGGATTTTCATCCTGAATATACGACAAAATTTAAATGCCTTTGCATAGAATGGTGCAGTTGCTGACAAAATGTCCCGATAAACCGGCTGCCACCATTACCCGATGGCCCAATAAAGCAGAATCCACTGTATTTTGAAAGATAACAAAGAAGTTAAAAGAGGAACCTTGAAAAGGACTGATCCTGATGATGCAAAATCTAAACAAATGAAGATTTCATGCCCTCAATCTCAATGTTCTTACTCACTGAACTCTGTATCGAAAAAAATTTTTTTACATGAACATGGCATTAAAGAGCACCAGAGAGCCATTTGAATAATAGGGTATGAAGGCTGTCAATGATTGTGCTGTATGGGCAGAAAAGTTGATTTCTGACTACAACCAAGTCATCACCAAAGATGATGAACAGAAACAATAACACCTCCAATTTGTTGAGCAGCTTTGAAAAGGTTTTTAAAACAAGCAAAAAATCAATACCAAATCAGAAGTGTGGATAAACTAGGCAAAAAATAAGCATTTGGCAAATGTGAATCCTCTCACCATAAGGGTTTAATACTCACAGAAAGTGAGGGGAATTGGTAACAACACCACACCAATAGGGCTATAATGTTAAAACTTAATGTCCTTTGAACTACCTATAAATATGCTCTGATTGAGCTTCTTTTTTTTTTTTGCACAGAAGTTTCGACTTGGAAGTATACAAGGATGAGGGGTTAAATGTATAGGCATATTTGCAAGTTACTTTGGACCATAGCCCATTCCATGTCATGGTCATGGTGAGCTATCATGCCATTCCCAACAATTGCCAAGGGAAGGTGTAATAATTTATTTTGGACAGGTTTCTGAGGATTTCTTGCCATCTTACTTTATGAAAAGAATGCCAGTTTGATAGGCCTCTTGAAACATTTATTAACTTTGAATTCCCCTTAATCTGTATTCTTGGGTTACTGTAAATGGTCAGAGTATGGGGACATTTTGAGGCCAGCATGCACTATGGGATGGGTTAACTGTCAAAAAAGGCATGATCTTGATAGCAAACAAATAACATAAATAAAACCTTAGGCTCAGCCAATGTCATCTTTATATTCCAACATAATCTGCATTTTCTACAAGGAACACAAAGCATTCACATGGTTCTTTTATCAAGTACTGACCTCCACCTTAAGGCTGCTGCAACTACAAGGGAGGAGAACATGAAGATAGTCCCACTCTCCAACTCAAGAAAACGTAATGTCCCTCTTTCCCTGAACAATGCACATCATGATGGAATACTCTCAGTTTCACCTACATAATTAAGCCATTTCATATGCTAGGAGCACAGGGTACAGGACTACATTGCACAAATGGACAATCTCACGAGTCTGATGCCCGCTCACTCTGGGCTGGATTTGACAGGCTTTCCGTCTTTCCACGGGTTGATTTTCACGTTGATCTCTTCGCGTCGGAGGGCTTCTGCCCTCAGGGGTGCCTTTAGGGCTCGGCGCACGATCTTGGCCGCTATGGCAGAGAACTGGATGTAATTCAATCCTGCTTGCCTCCAGTATGTCATTCTGGAATGATCTGCTTCTTGGTTTCCCAGAGAGAGAAATCAGACTTCAGTCTGAAACAGATCTACAGAGAAAATGGACAGGTGATACATGTTGAAGACTTCACGTACTGTTTAAACAGAAAATATAGACAACCCTTGATACTGATACTATGATACTCAGTGGTTGCCAATATTGGTACTATATCAAATGAATCAGAGAAAGTTAGTGGCTAGAATGGCAAAACCTCAGATGGAAAAATTTGACTAAATGAATGTAAAGCTTGTCTGTGACCCATAACTCCCTCTGATAACCACTATTTCGATACACATTTCACTCCACGGGTATGAGTCACTTCTTTTGGTCTGGCAATCTGTCTTGCAATCACATGGACAAACAACAAATATTTAGCTGTTTGCATCCTGGATGAGGGATGTGGCAGGTATGGTACTTGGTGAAAAATTGCGAATTTACATGGAAAGAGGAAGACTTGCATAAATATGGCTAGGCTAGTCTTTACAGGGCATTAGGCATTACAAGGGATCATCTATTATGAGCTCATGAGAAAGACTGAGAGGGGGACAGTACACTGAGTGGTGGTACATTGAGGGTTGACTGTATTTACTGAACTTGCAGCAAAGACTTAGTAAATTAATAAATGCTTTACTCAGCATTTCTGAAACCTATTACTCAATTCAGTCGAAAAAAAACTTTAGAAAGTCTGCTTTCCCTGAAATTTTGGGAATCAATTTGAAAGGTTTGAACTGTGGATTGTCTCTTATCAATTCTATGAGCAGTCCTAAAGCTGACAAGTGTCATACAAAAAATGACATCAAATGTATTCACAGCTAGTTTTCTGAGGCCCTGGAAGACATTCTCGAAAGCTATTGGTCTTGAAAGAAGAGCCACATGAAAATAAATCTACATTATTCCACTCTTATAATGGTGGATGTGTTCAAGGAAAGAAGTGAGCAAAAGAAAAATTCCACCCTTGCATCTTCATTCACCACTCAAATGTAGTGGTAATTCAAGGTAAAAATAAGGTTGTGTTCATTGTGTGCATTCAGGCATAAAAGGAAAACTCATCAGTCAGAAACAGAACAACTGAGAACCTCAAATCCATCTGAGGTGTGTCTGAAAGTTTTCAGTCTTGTTTGAAAAGATGTAATACAAGACTGAATGCCATTGCATTCCCAATGGAGAGAGCAGATGCAATTTGAGAAAGATCATCTGAATTTTCTCCATGTCCAGTGAATCAGCTTCAAGATTTAAATGCATTACTGATGGCCAGCTTTTTTTCTACCAGAGCTTCATTTAATTCACTACCAGTGACCATTTGATTCACTATTTGATTCACTACCAGTGGAATCATCACCAGAAAGACAGAGAGCCACCTTAATCCGACCTAGTTCACGACCTAGCTACAACCTGGAAAATCCATACTAGCACAGTCGGCACCAAAGAGATACCATTCCTGACTCCGCCTGGCACGTATAGAGGTTTGACCTCTCTCTGGGTTTGACGCCCCGACAAGCAAGACGCCATTATGCCAACAGGGTTGCCCAAACCCTCCGTAGGTCGAGGTCGCCTTTTCAAGTGTTTCAGACTGGGTGTTGTGGCGATGAGAAACGCTACTGGAGAGGAAAATTGGGTATTCCTTGGTTGCTGTGACGGATCATGAATTAGATCTTTGAATGTATCAATGTTTCATCTTTTTTTTTTCTCCTTTCGATATCTGCTAAGAGTTTCTTGATGTTTGAAACATGATGAAACCTATAATTACATACAGTAATGTTTCATAGTGTAAATTGTCCCGCAAGTCTTTCATTTCCTTTTTGTCAGGGAGAGAGCAAAGTGAATCCTCAGGTTGGGTTTTGCATAAATACTCGCGTTTCAGAACGTTAAAATACAAATTACTCGGAATCAAATATTAAATGAGAATATTACTAATATCCGTTTATCCTGCAACCCTGACGCGAAATGATGGAATGAAAGGGGGAATGAACTCCCCTATCCTCAAATCTCGGAACATTTCTCAGCGGGCTGTTGCCCTGGGCCCCACTCTTCCAGAGAGCCCCCCCCAATCCTCGAAGTAAATTATAAACGTTAAATATTTGCCTAAAGTAATGGGGGAAGGGAGGGGGGGGGGGGGGTAGCCTCGAGAATACACTTGCCCCGGGCCTCGCAACTTAATCCTGCCCCGGATCAGGGCTCTCAGAGAGCGGAAGTTCAAAAATTCCCATCGGGCAACACTGTAATTCAGGTGTCGGCTGGTTCCCTGCTCCACCAGTTCCGACAGGTGCGTTCGTTTTTCACGTTTTGGGATGAAACAGAAGTTGTGGCTGACGTTGCACGGGAACAACACCATCGCGACGAATTCGGTAAGAGACTCAGAATTATTTAACCGCAGAATTTTTTTCCTCTTCTGGCTTTGCCGGCTTCAGACAAACGAGGAAAATGAAAGCGTGCCCTTTCGGTCTGGTTCGTTTCTTTACCGCCCAGATAACTGGCTGCCCCACCGTCAACCAGGATTAGAGCCAATTATTCATCAAAACATTTTATATCCGGTGTGCAAACTCAATTTTTCGTCCGCTCAATTTCAACTCTCGACGTGTGAAGGCAAATTAGAGATTTAGATTTAGAGCCTGATGTGAAATCGGATTGCACTTAGAGTCTTAATTGCCCGCTTCGTCAATATTGGTTTCAAGATTGTAATAATCATTTTCGACGTTTTCGTTTAAGAATTTTTTTTTCCGATGTTGCCTCCCATTCCTGCCCAGGCAGCATGTTAGGCCTACGTCGGAGTTCCACATTAGGCCTACGTCGGATTTCCTGCATCAAACAACGGTTTCGGTTCAATACAGCACTCGGCCTAGTTCTTGATGCGTCGCAGGATTGCAGGCCAGCAGCTGCATTGGATTTTTTTTTTTACAGCATTCATTATGCTATTTGCACGTGAAAGGACTCTGCCCTGACTTTCATGCGATCGGCGAAAAGCCTCTCGGTGCCGATCCCTTTACGGGACTCATGCTGAGATAGTTTTGAGTTATTGCAAGCAGTGACATCTGGTGCCATATTATCGATAACATCTCGCTTTGTGGAAGTGGAATCGAGAATCGACTCATTCGGGATTCAACGCAGAGAAGTCCTTCAGCGTAATACCATTGAGTGTAACGAGAGGCGTTTCGCCGATCGCATGAAAGTCAGGGCAGAGTCCTTTCACGTGCAAATAGCATAATGAATAGGGGGGGGGTGGTGGGGGGGGGGGGGGGGGGGGGGGGGGGGTGTTCGAAATATTACAGTGACATCTGGTGGCTTGTTATCAGCAACACTTTCTTGAGGCTCGTTTTAGTACGATCGGTAGCGGAATCGGGAATCGACTCGTTCGGAGATTCGACCCAAAGGGATCCCTCAACGTAACACGCGTGTCTCGTTGAGTCCGCTGTTCGGCCATGGAGGAGTTGCTGATGTACGCACGCTAGGTGGAGGACCGACAGCGACATCTATATTGCGACCCTGTCAATGAAAGGGATTCGAATGGAGGGGAAGCCTCTAGTTACACTTCCTACTATTCAATTAAACGGTATATAGGCGATCGTGACTGAGTGACTGACGCTAATTCTAACCATGTTCTAGAGAAGTTAGGAATCTGAAACTTGGTACACAAGTAGCTATTGGGATGTAGAGAAAAAAATCCGACTTTGAAAGTACATGCCCTGGGGGGACATTTCGGGGGGGGGGGGGGGACTGATTTTGCAAGCCTTGGCCCAGCCCCCCAAACGGAGGATTAGGCCTACGCCATTCTCATGCACACGTTCTTTCCTATGTCATTGAAGGTAGGGTGTGTAACTGCTAGGTTGTTCACTCAGGAGGAATTCCGACTTCGAGAGGGGGGGGGGTTACATGCCCTGGGGATAATTTTCATGGGGGGCTGATTTATAATGCCTAGGCCTAACCCATGGATGGACGCTTAGGCCAATACCATTCTCATGCACTCTCCTTTTAAAGGAAGAGGTATGGAAAACAGTTGTGGGCTTGCTAACTAAAGAATCACTTGTGCCACTCATGAACGAAGGCAACCCACGAGCAGCCCCAAAGGCATAGAATAGAGAGTGTAACTTAAGGCGACACTCCTCTCAAATCCCATTCATTGGCAGGGTCGCAATATGCTCCGCTAGTCCCGCCCCCAAGATGCACGTGGTTAGCACGTTCGGGGGTAAACAAACGACGCTCTCGGCTATCCCGCTCAATGCTCAGCTTTTATTCCGATGCATTCTTTTTCATTTCAATGAAATGAAAATCACTCCACCATTTCACTCGATTCCCGTTGAATTACGGGAGTCTGAAGATTCATCAAGCACCCATTATGCCCACTATTTTTGTTACCGAGGGACGTAGATTTGTGGGGAAGTGAGTCCATCACGGCATATCCCCGCATTCTCTGAATGGCCCTTTTCTACATGGACCCGACAAGAGGCGATCTTCATTGTCAACTGCCACCTCAGGAGTGAACTGAGTTTTCCCCCTGAGAAAAGAAGGAAGATTCCGTGTCACTCCGGTGGGAAGCAAATCGTGAATCGTGAAGCCTTTATCCGCTAGAATTAGGTCCCCGGCAGAGACCTTTGGTTCCACCAATCATCACTTTGAAGATATTGTGTGGCTTGTAGTTACAGTAAGTAATTATTTGTGCTTCCAGGCTAAATCTAGGAACAGCAATTTCGATCTCCGTACAATCGATTATCATTTGGCAGTTTGAGAAACTAGCGAAGGCATTTACCCAGTCTAAGTATACTTCTTGATCATGATCGAAATTTCATAATAACTCGATCGTGATCGAAAACAAGCTCGATCGTCATAACTCGATAGCCCTCCAGGACTCCTATAACTGATCGAATTTTCGTACTTACACCGAAGTCGTAATTGAGAGCGACATTTAACTTTCCCACCGACAAGTCCAGTCATCTCTGGCCCTTTTCCAGGCCATCAAAACCAAAGAGTGGATATCCAGATGGCTTTGTTCCTCACATTTCCAGTTTCGAACAATGATTTGGTACGCTTGTCACCCCATATTCTAATAAGAGCTGTTGTTTCATCAATCGAGTAAAAACGCCTTACTCAAGGACTAGGACCAACATAACTCTCTTCCATCTTCCAACAATGGAGCAACTGTCCACGTGAAGATACATGGGATAATTGAAGTTTAGTTAGGAGCCATCTTTGACGACAGGGGGAGCCTATGGCAGCGTGACGTCAGTTATCATCGAAGTTATGATGATCGAGCTAACTGATATTTCGATTCGATATTTAGACCCAGATCGAGTTATTATGATATTTCGATCATAATCGAAAAGTATACTTAGAATTGGGAACTTGATTGGGAAGTCGAGTCCTGTTCTTCTTCGCACTGGGGACGCAATCCATCATGCCCTCATAGGATCTCGTAGAGAGCATTGCGACATTCAATGTCATTCAATAGGATATTCTGCACGTGACTTCGGCTCACTCCGAATCGGACGGACAGATCCTCATCAGGCACTGCCAATCGCAGTTTGGCAATTCAGGGAAAGTGGCATGTAAGTACGTTTTCTAGTATATCGCAAGGAATTCCTGATAGCAAATATTGCGAAATGTGAAGCGGAACGGAGATTTGCAGTGGCACGCGAGTTGAATCACGCGCTCCTAAGCAGATTTGTTTACTCTCTAATAGCGCCCGCCAATCACATTCCACGAGGGGCGGAGCCGACTAGCGGGGGAAGTGTAACTAGTGGCTTCCACTCCATTCGAATCCCATTCATTGACAGGGTCGCAATACAGATGTCACTGTCGATCCTCCACATAGCGTGCGCACATCAGCAACTTCTCCATGGCCGAACAGCGGACTCAACGAGACACGCGTGTTACGTTGAGGGATCCCTTTGGGTCGAATCCCCATATGAATCGATTCCTGGTTCTGCTGCCACGAAGCACGCCTCATGGAAGAGTTGTTGATAACAAGCCACCAGATGTCTCTGTAATATTTATTATTGAGCTGTGCTGCTCGTGCCAAGGGGGCACCCCCCTCCTCTCTGTCATGTAAAAATACTTCCGTTGTCGTGTATGTCCGCCACACGTCCTGTCTTTAAAAAAATTTTATGTGTTGATTTGCCTCAATTGCCCCTTTCACCCTCGCGAGAAATGTCTATGATCTGATCCTGTAGGTCGTGCGGAAGGATCCCTATAGTACCAGCCATATTTTCTTGGGCTGTAATCACTCTGCTGTCTTCTTCCTTCCCCGAGATGGAGATGTCTGTATCTGATGTCGGCATAGAGTCTATGGCGAGATGAGAGAGGGGCATCACCAATTTCATTAATAATAAAGAGGTTGAGATCGCTCTGATAAACCATGCGATATATCATTCATCAAGTGGCGTATGCACTATGCATGTCGAGACCTGTCTCATTTCAGTATCGAGGTAATGTTGATTCAATGGGAAGATGGAATGTTCTTCGACGTTGACTTCACATTGTGGATGTTGGAACTTCAATGCTGTTAAAACGTTACATCA